TGCTCCCCAACAAACTCAGCACACCCCTCCCGAGGCCAGAGCTTGGGGCGTGTTCCTGGACCTGGCCCCTCACCAGCTGCCAGCAGCCTCAGAGCATCTTCACCCTGAATTCCCCTGGATACCTTCCTCCCCCACCTCCAGTCCCTGGTCCTGGTTTGGGCCACTGTCACCTCTCACCAAGGCCACCAACTGCCTACTGGCCTCCCTGCCTCCAGGCTCCCTGTCACCCCATCCCCATCTTCAGCCCCCACGGATGAGCTTCACACAGGCACAGCTGCTGGGGCCATCTCAGCACAGACCTGAGCAACCACCTCTTCATCCCTGGGAGACCCCAGGCGTGGTGAGCGGTCCCCTCCTCTGCTCCCACACTTCAGGACGATCCACCCACTGTAAAGGACACCCCACTCAATCCTCAGTGCCTCTCACGTGCCGTGCTTTCTAGCCTCCTGGCCTTTGCACCAGCTGTGATGATCTGACACGCTTCACCTCCTCTCTAAAGCTGTCACCAAGCTAAGGCCTGCCTGGCCTCAGGTCCTGGCTGTCCCCCGGGTACTTGTGGTCAGGGTGACCTCATTGTCCCTTCCCAATCCTGGCTTGGCCCCTGGGCTCCACATGCTCATCCTTCTTTGCTTACTTTCTGGTTTTCCGTTTGTGCCCACAACTGTGAGCCCCATGAAAACATGTACTTGTGTGTGTCACTTTCCAGCTTCTGCCTATGAAAGAAAAAAGCAGCCCTGACACCCGTGAGCTGCCCTTTCCCTCAGCCAGGCCACGGTTGCTTGGGACTGGCCTGGCACAGTCTGGTCTTGGCGTGGTCCAGTTGAACACAGACAATTTCATGGAACATCAACATCAGACTAGGCCATTAGTCAGTAGGATGGATCAAGGCAAGAACAAGGCCAGTCTGTGATCATGTCTCAGTATAAACAAACTCTAACACTTTCCAAAGCACAAAAAATAACCAAACATTACCCATCCAGCTAATCTGAGTGATAGTTGCTTCTTTACCAATGGCAGCTTTGGCCTTGCTCTAGGTTGACCCCCGCAAAGATAAGACTTAGTGAGACGCCTGGTAACAGGGTTATCCCTTCTTCCTGACAGCGTCTAATACAGAGCAAAACCTTGCTTCCTTAAATGCTTTCCCAAAATCCCACCACAAGCCCAGTTCCTTAACAATCTCTTTCTAAAGCCTCTTCCTGAGTCACCCCACGGTCGTCCTGCACTGCACAAAGCATAACTCCATCCGTTCAATTTTTGGTGAGTTTCTGGAGGTTGTTGGCCAGAGGACATTGATATCCTAAAATTACAGTGCCTGGATCAGGGCATGGAATTCTTTGCTGAATGAACAAATTGGCCCATTGGAGGGAAAGGTCTGTTCCTATTCCTGTTCCAATGGTGGGCTTCCAGAGTGCACAGTCAACACGCTGCCTCTCACTGCCTTCTGTCTTCCTTCACGGCCCCCAGTCAACTCTACAGAGAAAGCACCCCACCAGGAATCAGGGACGCAGAAAAATTCTCTTCAACAGATTTCAAAAGAGGGTCCAATTCCTTGGTCGTGAGGAACTTTGCTACTCAAGGGGCGTGATCATGGGCCAGCAGCATCTGCATCATTTCTTGTTGGAAATGCAGAATCTCTGGCCCTAGCCTAAACCTGTTGAATCCCAATCTGCCTCTTAGCAAGATCCCCAAGCATGGAAACGTGCAAAAGAAGCCCGACTGGTAAGAATATTTTTGTTTTCATGAAGTTGCAGAGAAAGCAACATCTTCTAAGGCCATCTTCCTTCTAAGGCCACCCTGCCTCACTCACAAACACTCACCTGTCACACCCACAGCGGACACCGGGCCCACACGCCGCCCCTCGTGGAGGCCGTACAGGTGCATCTTGTACTTGCGTCCGGGCTCCAAGCCCCCCACGGTGACCTCGCTCTCCTCACCCCCGACACGCACCACCTGGGGCCGCCCATCCCTGTCCTTGTACTGCACGGTGAAAGAATCGAACTGGCCCTGGGGGACGGTCCAGGAGAGGCTCAGCGAGTCAGGGGAGGATCCCGTCACTGTCAGCTCCCCCAGGAGCGGCTCCTCAGGGGGCTCCGGGGCCTCTGTGCTGGGTTCTGTGGGGCTGGGGGTCTCTTCCTCTGCAGCTGAGAAAAGGAGATATAGAGAGGATGCCAGGTCCTTGGGTGATGTGCTCAGGTCTTCAGGGGAAGGAGGGAGAAACCGCAGCCACTACTGGGTACGTGAGGTCATTTCAGAAAAGCCCATTCTTGGGGCTGGGGGGTCCTGCTCAGCTGACAGCTAACATACATGACAAGTTCCAGGGTCAGCTGTGGGGGACCTGGCACAGCCACCAGCACAGCAAAACTCCTGATGGCCTCTCCCTGCTCAGGAGGAGCCAGGGAGTCAACCTCACAGGAAGGCCCAAGGGGAGCCCCAGCCCCAGCCACAAGCAAGTCTGTGGTGCTGACCAGACCCGTCACATTCCCCACCAGTCATCACCAAAGAGCAAGAGGGTGACTCTCCCACAGCACCCACCCTGTGGCTCCCACTGTTCACTCACCCGTCACCCCGATGACAGACATGGGACCCATGCGCTGGCCACCGTGGAAGCCGTACAGGTTCATCTTGTACTTGTGGTACTCGGGTCCTCAGTTCAGTATAGAGTTGGATGTGTCACAAAACACAAAGTGCTCCGCAGTAGGAACATGCTGCCTACAGCGCTCCAGCGCTCTTCTAGTTTCTCCTGTGGCCTTCCTATCCCTCACCCTGACCCCCTGCCCTCAGCCCCACCCCACCCCACCTCCCAACACCCAGGCCACCTCCCTGTCCTCCCAGCACCGCCTCTTCTGAGCACAGCCCCCACCAGCCTCCACCTCGGGCCTCCCTGCACTGGGGTCTCCTCGCCACCTTGTCTCCACTGGCTTCTGTCTGTCAGAAGAGAGGCGGTGCTGGAGGGACAGGGAGAGGTGGCCTGGGTGTTGGGAGGTGGGGGTGAGGTGGGGGCTGAGGGCAGGGGGTCAGGGTGAGGGATAGGAAAGGCCACAGGAGAGGAGAGCAAGAAGAGCTTTGCTGGAGGCGCTGTGGGCAGCATCGTCCTGCTCTCGGGCACTTTGTGTTTTGTGACACATCCTTTCTATGCTGAACTGAGGACCCAGGGACCTCACTGTCCCCATACCTGTCTGTCCAGCTCCAGAGGATGAAGCCGAGGATGCTCGAGGCTGCTGGCAGCTGGTGAGGGGCTGTGTCCAGGAACACGCCCCAAGCTCTGGCCTCGGAGGTGTGTGCTGAGCTTGTTGGAGCACAGACAGAAGCCCAGTGAACAAAAAGATGGCGGGTGGAGACCCCAGAGCAGGGAGGCTGAGGTGCAGAGGCCGAGTGGGGCTGTGTGCGAAGAGAGGCGGTGCTGGAGGGACAGGAGAGGGCTGGGTGCTGGGAGGTGGGGTGAGGTGGGGGCCGGAGGCAGGGGGTGGGGTCAGGGCAGGTGGACAGGAAATAAGAGGAGAGGAGAGCAAGAAGAGCTTGCTGGGAGGCGCCGTGGGGGCATCGTGCCCAGTTTCCTGGGCACTTTGTGTTTTGCAGACACATCCTTTCATGCTGAACTGAGACCCAGGGACCTCAAATGTCCCCATACCTGCCCTCCATCCAGCTCCAGAGGATGAAGCCGGTGCCACCCAAGCAGCGCTCACCGTGGTCTCGAGCCCCACTGCCTCGCCTGGGAGCTGACCTAGATAGACGCCACCCCCATTCCCTCAGCCTGTCCTGGACGGTCCCCGAGGGCTGGTTTGACCACTTCCTGTCCAGCACAGAATGGGGATGGCAGCCCATGTGAGGGTGCCGGGGCACTCCAGGACGGGGTCGCCTGGCCTCCCAGAGATCACTGGAGCTGCACTGCGGCACCACAAGTACAAGATGAACCTGTACGGCTTCCACGGTGGCCAGCGCGTGGGTCCCATGTCTGTCATCGGAGTGACGGGTGAGTGGACTGTGGGAGCCCAGGGTGGGGCCTGTGGGAGGGTCCCCCTTTCTCTGGTGATGGGTGAACTGGCCCAGGAAGCCCCTCTGCTCTTGGCTGAGCCTTGGTACCTTTGTGCTTTTCCCCACTTCCCTGAGGACTGACAGGTCTTCCTGGGTGGAGAAGGGCCCTGTGAGCTCTGTTGGTGGCTGTCCCAAGTTCCCCAGCACTGACCTCAGAGCTTGTCATATGTGTTGACTGCAAGCTGAGCAAGACCGCTCAGCTCCAAAGATGGGCCTCTCCAAGCTGACCTCCGGACCCCCATTCATGGCCACAACTTCGCTGTCCTTCCCCACAAGCCTCAAGGACATCCCCCAGGGAAGCTGGCTCACTTTCTCTGTCCCCTCTTCTCAGCTGCAGAGGAAGAAACTCCCGCCCCCACAGAACCCAGCACGGAGGCCCCGGAGCCCCCTGAGGAGCCGCTCCTGGGGGAGCTGACAGTGACAGGATCCTCCCCTGACTCGCTGAGCCTCTCCTGGACCGTCCCCCAGGGCCGCTTCGACTCCTTCACCGTGCAGTACAAGGACAGGGATGGGCGGCCCCAGGTGGTGCGTGTTGGGGGCGAGGAGAGCGAGGTCACCGTGGGGAGCCTGGAGCCTGGACGCAAATACAAGATGCACCTGTATGGCCTCCACGAGGGGCGGCGCGTGGGCCCGGTGTCTGCTGTGGGTGTGACAGGTGAGTGAGTGTAAGTGAGGCAGGCTGGGGAAGATGGCCCTGGAAGACGCTGCTGTCTCTCCAGTCTTCGTGAAAACATACTCTCAAGAGTATTCCTTCCTTTGAGTATCCAAATGCCTGCAGATTTGTGTTAAAAGGCAGATTTGGATTCAGCAGGTTTGGCGTAGGGTCAGAGACTCTTCTTTTCTCTTCTTTTCTTTCCCTTTTTTCTTTTTTTTTTTTTTTTGGAGTCTCACTTTGTCACCCAGGCTGGAGTACAGTGTCTCAATCTCGGTTCACTGCAACCTCCACCTCCCAGGTTCAAGTGATCAAGTGATTCTCCTGCCTCAGCTTCCTGAGTAACTGGGACTACCGGCGTGCACCACCATGCCCAGCTAATTTTTTGTATTTTTAGTAGAGATGAGTTTCAGCAGGTTGGCCAGGATGGTCTCGATCTCCTGACCTCGTGATCTGTCCGCCTCGGCCTCCCAAAGTGCTGGGATTACAGGCGTGAGCCACCGTGCCCAGCCGGCCATCCATTTTTAATAAGATTCTCCTTCATCTTGATGCCACTGGTCCAAGGAACACACTTTTTTTGTTGATTTTTTATTGTAGTAAAGTACTCATGATATATAATTCGCTATTCTAATCACTTTCCAGTATACAGTCCAGCATGAAGTCCACTCACATTGCTATGGACCACCACCCTCCACTTCCAGAACTCCTCTTCCCACATTGGAACTTCCTGCCCACTAGACACGAACCCCATTCTCCCCTTGCCCCAGCCCCTGGCAACACCATTCTATTCCCTGTCTCTATCAATTTGACTTCAGATACCTCATATAAGTGCAATCATAAAATATTTGTCTTTTTCGAGTGGTTCATTTTGTTAAATACAATGTCTTTAAGGTTCATCTATGTCGTAGCATCCGTCAGAATTTCTTTTATATTTTATTTTCATTTTTATTTTTTGTGGTGATGGGGTCCTGTTACGTTGCCCAGGCTAGTCTCAAACTCCTGGCCTCAAGCGATTCTCCCACCTCGACCTCCCGAAGTGCTGGGATTACAGGCAAGTGCCACCGCACCTGGCCAGAACTAACTTCCTTTTCAGGCTGAATAATGTTTCATTTTATACATACTCATCCTTTCATCCACTGATGGACATCTGGGTTGCCTCCACCTCTTAGCTATCATGAATAATGCTGCTGTGAATATTTATGTGCAAATCACAGAACACCTTTGTAGTAAAGCTCCTCCCAATAACAGATTTGGAAACTCTCTTAGAATTTGTTGAAGCAAATTTTTCTTGCATTCATGAATCCTCACAGAGGTTAGGCTCAGAATTAGGGTTCATATCCTAATGGGATAAGTTCCTGTCCTAATGGGACTGACGTCGTGGGGGACAGGCTGTGGACCAGTAAGAAAGCAAACGTGGGTGAGCATGTGACAGGAAACCCAGGGCCAGGCAGGAATATCTAAGCCACCCTGCCTGTGGATACTCAGGGGACAGCCAGGACCTGAGGCCAGGCAGGCCTTAGCCTGGTGACAGCTTTAGAGAGGAGGTGAAGCGTGCCAGATCATCACAGCTGGTGCAAAGGCCGGGAGGCTAGAAAGAACATGGTGTGTGAGAAGCACTGAGAATCGAGTGGGGTGTCCTTTGCGGTGAGTAGATCATCCTGAAGTGTGGGAGCAGAGGAGGGGACCGCTTACCACGCCTGGGGTCTCCCAGGGATGAGGTTGCTCAGGTCTGTGCTGAGATGGCCCCAGCAGCTGTGCCTGTGTGAAGCTCATCCGTGGGGGCTGAAGATGGGGATGGGGTGACAGGGAGCCTGGAGGCAGGGAGGCCAGTAGGCAGCTGGTGGCCTTGGTGAGAGGTGACAGTGGCCCAAACCAGGACCGGGGACTGGAGGTGGGGGAAGAAGGTATCCAGGGGAATTCAGGGTAAAGATGTTCTGAGGCTGCTGGCAGCTGGTGAGGGGCCAGGTCCAGGAACACGCCCCAAGCTCTGGCCTCGGGAGGGGTGTGCTGAGCTTGTTGGGGAGCAAAGACAGAAGCCCAGTGAACAAAAGATGGCGAGAGACCCCAGTGCAGGAAGGCCGAGGGTGCAGAGGCGAGTGGGGCTGTGCTCAGAAGAGGCGGTGCTGGAGGGACAGAGGAGTGGCCTGGGTGTTGGGAGGTGGGGTGAGGTGGGAACTGAGGGCAGGGGTCAGGGTGAGGATAGGAAAGGCCACAGGAAAGCAAGAAGAGCTTTGCTGGAGCGCTGTGGGCAGCCGTAGTCCTGCTCTCGGGCACTTTTATTGTTTCAATGACACATCCTTTCTATGCTGAACTGAGGACCCAGGGACCTCACTGTCCCCATACCTGTCTGTCCAGCTCCAGAGGATAGGCCGAGACCACCCAAGCAGCACCACCACGACCTGGGCCCCCGTAAGCCTCGCCTGGGGGCTGACCGTGACAGAGCGCCACCCCCGATTCCCTCAGCCTGTCCTGGACCCGATTCCCCCACGAGGAGCCAGTTTGACCACTTCCTGGTCAGTACGGGAATGGGGATGGCAGCCAAGGCGGTGAGGTGCGGGCACGCAGGGGCAGAGTCGCCATCTCAGGACTGGAGCCAGACCACAGTACAAGATGAACCTGTCACGGCTTCCACGGTGGCCAACGCGTCCAGACCACAAGTACAAGATGAACCTGTACGGCTTCCACGGTGGCCAACGCGTGGGTCCCATGTCTGTCATTGGGGTGACGGGTGAGTGAACAGTGGGAGCCACAGGGTGGGTACTGTGGGAGGGCCACCCTCTTGCTCTTTGGTGATGACTGGTAGGGAATGTGACAGGGGTCTGGTCGGCACCACCGACTTGCTTGTGGCTGGGGCTGGGGCTCCCCTTGGGCCTTCCTGTGAGGTTGACCCCTGGCTCCTCCTGAGCGGAGAGGCGCCGTCGGGAGCTTTGCTGTGCTGGTGGCTGTCCCAGG